GCTGCTATTCAAGATAATGATGACTGGTAGATAATTAATTATTAGCAGTACTGCATTTTAGTTTTAGAAGGCGCAAATCCACTTATGAATTATAAAAATTAGTGAAACCACTAAAGCGCAAACAAAATATTTAGGTCCACAATCAGCGGATTTGCGCTTTAGCGGGCTGGTGCCCACCACTGCTCATTACAGTCAACATCACTCAATTATCAGCAGCAGCTACTCACTGCTKTATATCGTGCTGTAAATCTGAACAGCAGTCTTCCTCTTTGGCTCCTCCCTTCTGAACGCAACTTAAAAAAAAATCTAATTTCCTGTCCACAGAGCACAACACCTGGATGGTAATACAGCACAACAACACGGAGCTGACCAGAGTTCCACCGTCTCCCGGCGTCGACCAGCTTTCGGTCCACTTCAACTACTCATCAGCAGAACAGCAGCTCTCGGCTTCTATCAGCCAATCAGAGCACTGCGAACAGGAGCTGTCCTACCACTGCAGGAAGTCCCGCCTCCTCAATACTCCAGGTGAAGTGTGCAAAAATAAAATGAGCCTTGTTGTAAAGAACGTAGACTCTTTTTCTGCAGAAATATTTTATTCACTATAAATATATATCTTAATATGTTCCAAAAAACTTCACATTGTTGAGATGAAGAGATGTTAAGATAAATGCAGGGGAAGTAACAGGAAGTGAGGAAAAAGAGGATGTAAACAGAGCGTTCCTACAACAGACAGCAGCAATAAATCTGATGTTTTTTCTGAGTCAAGAGAGACAAATACTCAGAGTTCATAAAAAAAGACCAGAGAGTACCCSTTTGTCGTCACTTCCTGTTTCTCTTCAAAATAAAACCATGCCAGTTGTGTGTCAAAATGGGTAAAACTGTGTGCRTTATACCAAATTTCTTTAATATTAAAATGTTTTCTTCCAGTTCTTGCATTTGTAGAAAACACGTCACTTTAAGTTTGTTCATCTCTGTGTTTCAGAGGGGTCTCCGTTCAGCTGGTGGATGGGTGGTCCCGGTCCCGGTCGAGTCCAGACCTACTGGGGAGGAGCTCATCCAGGCAGCCAGCAGTGTGCCTGCGGCCTGCAGGGCGACTGTGTGGACCCACAGCACTACTGCAACTGTGACGCCGACCGCACCGAGTGGTACAGAGAAATATTATAACTATCAGATGATTGAATATTCTTTTTTGAGAGTCAGAAATAAATCTTTTCAAATATTTGACACTAATCACCTCATAATTAAATAAGTTCTCAGTGAAAAGTTTGCATGTTCTGGAATTTGTGCAAAGAAAAAATGATTTTAGTCAATTTAATGTTAAGTTTTCATCTGGACCATGTTTTTTAAATAAATTAATTTAATCAGTCTTTTGCTGCTTTGAGGTTTAAGTTAGCCTCCTGCTTTCAGCTAGCGTATTGAGGTTTAAGCCTATTGTTAATAGCCAATCAATCAACAGTGTTAATCAGTTATGCTTCTGCTGGGCCTCAATACTTCATCAAACCCCCCAAACACTCCCCTGGTCCTGGATCTCTGTTCAAGCAGACTTTTCTTCATTTTCCACTTCTCTTATTTATTGTTTTTGTTTTGCTTTTTGTTTTTCCAGGATGGAGGATGCAGGCCTGCTCACCCAGAAGGAGAGCCTCCCGGTCCGGTCTCTGGTGCTGGGTGACATCCAGAGGACGGGTTCAGAGGCGGCCTATAGGGTGGGACCACTCCGTTGCAATGGAGACAGTATGTCAGCTTAAAACGCGCAGTTACATGCTTGTAAAAACAATTAAGGGATTAAATCTCTAAACAGCAGAAGCAAAAGTTCACCTAATTACTGATTTTTAACAAAAAATAATCAAACACGTGTGTGAGCAAAACATGTCTCATAAAAAATTTAAATATAATAATAGTAATCATAACTCTTCTGCTAATGTGCATTACAAAGTGCTTCATATAATTATGGCAAMGTGAAGTAAAATTAAGTAGCAACTAAAATAACTAAATATATAAGAAAATATTCAGGAAACAAACAACTAAACAGAAACTAAATGTGACTCGTCACATTGAACCAAGGATTARGTCATAAAGTCGTGGAGGAAAAAGCAGCTAAAGTGAGTTGATTAAAACATTTTTTGTGTCACTTCAGTAGAAAATGAAACCAAATATTAGTTTATTTAGTTTATTTATTTCTTCATCATCAGTGACTTTTTTTAAGTGAAGTGAAAATAAAGAAAGAGAGAAAAACRGAGAGAGAAGTAATTAGAAAGATTGAAATAGTGATTAGAAGTATGTTAAATATACACCAACAAAACACAGAACCACACACCCAACATCTGATTAAAACATTTTCAAAAATTGCATTTTGTCCAAATATAATGAATATACATATAATTAATATATATATAAATTATCTAAGAATCATTTATCAACTATATGAAATAAATATCTTTTTTTAAAGTAAAAAAACCTTAAATTTTTCATATTTTCCCCCAGCAACCCTGCAAAGTTTTATTTTCTTTCTAACTTGGAAATTTCAATATTCAAATAATTTGACGTTTTCTCTTAAAATGACATTAATGATATTGGAATAAACCAAAAATAACAATGAGTTATCCTGATTAGAAAGACAAATGAAGTTATTTTCTGGAACCACTCATAATGTCAGGATGATCCCGGTCTCAAAAAGTAGCTTAAAAAACAGAAATCTGAAATCTAACAAAGGAATAAAACCTGGAGTGAAATTTAAGCCGTGGTCTCAGAGATGTAAATGAGTTTGTTCTGTCACCTTAGTTTTACAAATCTATATGAAGTGAAGAAATGAAATGAGGTCATAATGATCCTGAAGAGTTTTTATAACCGGAGACAATCCTSTGTTCCACCAAAACATCCAAAAACATTTTAAAATGAATCAAATCAGAATGTCTGATTTAAGGATCYTAAAGTCCATCATCTTTTCCTCTCAGGGAATTTCTGGAACGCTGCGTTTTTCGACAAGGAGACGTCGTACCTCCACTTCCCGACGTTCCAYGGGGAGCTGAGCGCCGACGTGTCCTTCCTGTTTAAAACCACGGCCTCCTCCGGCGTCTTCCTGGAGAACCTGGGCATCAAAGACTTCATCCGGATCGAGCTGAGCTGTGAGTTAAAGACTGGCCCACTTGTTTGTTTTCTGCTGGTTTTACTCTGTTCAGCCACTGCTGAAGCACCGCCCACCTCCACATCCCATGTAGTAATCACTGCAACACGCTGTTAACATGATTACAAGCAGGGAAAGGAAAGCTATAATTACTGCAGCCYCTGGTTTTAATTTTACAGTTGTTTTATGAACTCTCAGGAGCATTTTCACCAGGACCCTTCATTAATCTCTCMCTCTCTCTTGTGTAACACACACATTTATGGGATCATTTCTGTAATGACTGTAATAATCATAAGAACATTGTTTACTTTATGAGAACAAAAGAAGTGCAGCTGGCTGTTAGAAGTTTGTTTAAAGCCTTTTTAGCTCATCTCATCTGAATTATAGCTTTATTTTTCGCATATTTATTTTACTCTGAGCTGACTTACCRTACATGATGTTTGTGTCATTTAGTTCTTTTGTGTTTATTTTTCATGCATATACTCTGGCTTTCACAGAGTCCCAGAGGAGAATTTAAAAAGTACAATGCCATGCATTCAGAGGACAAATAAACCAGGCCGTATTTTAAAAAGCAAAAGGAGAACATTATCCTCTAAATTGTCAGGATCTGTGTTTTCTGGTTAATTATTGTCCTGTTTGTTGGGTTTTAATCCCTTTTTGTTTTATTTGTTCCATTCATGAGTCACAGCTGCAGCCACTCTTCCCATCAGCCTCAGTTTATATCATCCTTCTGTTTCACATCACAAACCAGTCGAGCTTTACTGGTTTCCATGCTGGAGTTAATCCTCCATTTTTCTAAGGTTTGCTGCCACATCAGCCTTTAGTTTTATTAACACCTTATAATAACTACACCTTATTCAGCCTTTCTTGTTCATTAATAAATTATAAAAC